GAACCTTTTAAAAAAAATGTGAAGATTTTCGTTTTTATCTTTAGTTTATATAGGTAAGATTCGATCACTTGTTTGAAACTCCAAATCCTTTCTTGTTGAGTTTATGTTAGCAAAAGGACCCCCGCCGGATTTTTGAACTTTCTCCCATAAAAAAACCAAATGCAAGGTTTTGTAGAGCTCGAAAAGTTACATCTAATGGTATATAAATTAAATTGGTTCCTATTCAATTTCAGAGATTTTTTCCATAAAAAATGTCGAAGTGGTATTATCAAATATATAGGTTCAAAAACTTATCCTATTATACAGAAATGGCCCTTTATTAGCGGTTATCAGAATATTATAACAATTATCGTCTGAATTAGTTTTGTAGAGCTTTCTTCACTCTACAATTTGGCTTATTTCATTATCTCATTTTAAAGGAGGAAAAATTTTTTTTTTGATTGACATTATCAAAATTTTTAATCAAAAAACACTCATAATGAAGATTTTCAATTTTATTGATGTTTTTGTGGCCTTTCGTTATCCCTCAAGACCTAGAGACACCAACGTGAATTTTTCTCAAAAACTGTGCCTTGTCATGGTCTATCGTTAGCCATAAAAACCATATTAAAGATCGAAGGGACTGTAGAGAAACACAGTCAACACATAAAGAACTCCATAGATTTTTTATGTTTCTCACATATTTTTCATATATCATTTCATCCAAGTTTGCTTACAAATTACTCGAAAAGTTTCATCAGATCAGATAAAATCTACCTAGTGTAGATCAGCATACGATCCTCTAACGTTCTTCATAAAAATATTCCATCAAAATTAAAAAAAAACTTTTTTCAAAAAATCCCCGTAGGGGGGTAGGAGAATTATAATAAAAAGTCTTTATCAGAAGAGGCCTGGAGGGGAGTAGGGCGATTTTTTGAAAAAAATTTTTTTTTAATTTTGATGGAATATTTTTATGAAGAACGTTACAGGATTGTATGCTGATCTACACTAGGTAGATTTTATCTGATCTGATGAAACTTTTCGAGTAATTTGTAAGCAAACTTGGATGAAATGATATATGAAAAATATGTGAGAAACATAAAAAATCTATGGAGTTCTTTATGTGTTGACTGTGTTTCTCTACAGTCCCTTCGATCTTTAATATGGTTTTTATGGCTAACGATAGACCATGACAAGGCACAGTTTTTGAGAAAAATTCACGTTGGTGTCTCTAGGTCTTGAGGGATAACGAAAGGCCACAAAAACATCAATAAAATTGAAAATCTTCATTATTAGTGTTTTTCGATTAAAAATTTTGATAATGTCAATCAAAAAAAAATTTTTTCCTCCTTTAAAATGAGATAATGAAATAAGTCAAATTGTAGAGTGAAGAAAGCTCTACAAAACTAATTCAGACGATAATTGTTATAATATTCTGATAACCGCTAATAAAGGGCCATTTCTGTATAATAGGATAAGTTTTTGAACCTATATATTTGATAATACCACTTCGACATTTTTTATGGAAAAAATCTCTGAAATTGAATAGGAACCAATTTAATTTATATACCATTAGATGTAACTTTTCGAGCTCTACAAAACCTTGTATTTGGTTTTTTTATGGGAGAAAGTTCAAAAATCCGGCGGGGTCCTTTATGGCGATTTGTAAAACATGCAATCACCTCCAAACCGAGAATTGTTCCTACTGGTAAAAAAAGCTCGATGGGCTGATTCTATTGACACTCACTCTCATCCTCACTCTCAAGATAATAATACAATACTAACTTAATTCAATATAACTCACCATCTGCATTTTCAGTGCCAAATATATATTTCCGAACATAGTGTATGACGTTAAAGTGTGACATGCGATGAATTCTATTCTTGATAGTAAATCAGAAGTCACTTCGAGTGCAACACAGGCCGTGCTAGAATCTGAAAAATAATGTAAACGGATGTAAAGAGAATGCTTTTAATCACTATTTTGTTTTAATATTAGTGATGAATGGATACATAAGAACATATTCATTTCATACTAAAATAGTGTTTTTCATAATTGAGATATCTAGAGTGAGTAATGATATTACCCAAAAATCCAAATTTATGATGTCAAAAGTAATCATCGTTATCGGAAACATAATTGGGAGGAAAAAAGCAACACAATGCTTTTGATGGCACAGTTTGATTTTTCAAAGATGTCTTGCAAGAACGACATATATACATGTATCCGCAATTACATTATTGATTAGGATAATTCGAACAATAATTAGTTTTTAATAGCTTTTCCCTTAACCAAATATTTGCTTCAATCATGCGTGAACTAAGAATTGTTCGAAGAAACTTCGATCTTACGTATAGCAAACTAGCAAAATGCAGATGATTTTGTTCAGTAAAAACCCATGCAATAAAAAACTTCAAAGAAATTACCCAGTCAGACGCATAGTAAAAAATCGATGTTTTACGTAAAAAAGCTGTATATATGAATGCGTCAAAAAAGCATTTTTTTTGCCTGACAAAAGAAAACAGATGAAGCGAATGCTCTTAAATTTTTTCATTCTGAAGAGAATAATTTTCAAACGTCATTATATGTTGGCTTTTTCACACAAATGCATGCATTCTTCTGTTTCTTTTTTGCTTGAGTAGATGGAAAAAAAACCACTGAATTTTGAATGTCTTCTCAGTCTATATGATGCGGGTGTGGGTGTGGGTGTGGGTGTGGGTGTGGGTCTGGGTCTGGGTGTGGGTGTGGGTGTGGGTGTGGGTCTGGGTGTGGGTGTGGGTGTGGATGTGGGTGTGGGCGTGGGTGTGGCTTTAGGATAAGAGAAGATTCACACCCACGCCCACCCCCACACCTAAGCCACACCTCACACCCACACCCACACCCCACACCCACACCCCACACCCACACCACACCCACACACCACATCCACCCACCACACCCACCCACACCCTATAAGACGTCGCTTCAAAATTAGAAAAAATGAATCAAAATAGCAGAATGATCTTTGATTTTAGTCAACAATATTCAATTTAACTATTTGGTTTTCCCAGTTTCTTCACTTAAAATATTTGCTTCCATTTGATTAAACATGTCTGCTGCGTCTTGGATGTGGGTGGGTGTTGGTGTACTTTCAGAAATGACTCATACCCACACCCTCTAAATAGCAGTATTCAGATAGCCAACTAGTGCCCGAGAATTGTTTTTAAAATTCCGAAAAAATGTCAGTTTACCACTTTAAATTTCTTATAAAATCTCGCGTAGCTAGGGTTCACTTACTTTAATTATAGATTCAAACACATTGAAATCTTAACTTAGTGGATTTTTATAAAGGAGCATCTAATCGTTCGCCTCAATATTTCAGGACGCCGTTCACGATTAACCGATGGTGTCCTCTTGTTCATTGGCCTAAATAACTACTATCCAATTTTGAAATTCATGCATTTACACTTCAAGGATTCGAAAAGACATTACTGCCCGTAAACCAGTAGTTTGTTAAATAGTAGTCAACCATTAATCAGTTGTAAGTGAGAAAAGATATTTTATTGTATATGTGCATTCCTCCTTTATTGTTGAGAGCTGAGAGGTATATATGCATGGGCTCGGAATGAAAGGAAAGTACTAAAATCTGCTAGGAAGTCCAGAACTCACAAGAGAGTACTAGTAAGAACATACACGATCAATAAAGAGAGAACGAATAGATTGGAACATACTGGAGCAATGAACATACATCCATCCACATATAACGACAGAACAAAAGAAGATATAGATAGAATACATATATGTGATGCTATCACAAGAATGATAGGAAGAAAAAGATAATACCTGAAAGCCGACGCCATCTAACAAGTCGCTAGGATTGGTTTTTTTCCCTTTAATAGATGCTCGTCCGCTATTCGCTTGTAAAACATAATATACCTCAAGCCGTTAGATGACTCACTTATACTCTTCTGCTACTTTTTGTATTCTTCATATACACTAGTCTCTATATAATAATAAAGAATGGAACAAAATAGCGATATGTATTGCTTGTTTTCCTTTTTGTTTTGTTTGTTATTCGTTGTTTATTTTTGAAAAATAAAGAAGAAAGAAGAAAATAAAAGTAAGATAATGTATGGTATTACCATTGATTGTATCACTTTTAACAACGTGGATTATTCATAGTGAACTAAACTTTTAAATAATGATGAGTTGACTCTATTTAAAGTAACAGTCTATTTTTATAATGCTTAGTTTATCAATACATCGATACTCATAGCACTGCCTCGGGATATTTATTCTCTCTCTCTCTCTGAATGTCAGTAAAGCCATTAGTCTAATTTGAATAAAATATTTATTATTAAAAAAGTATAAAATAGAATGAGCCTAAGATTTTTTTAAATTCTTGTGAATCGTCATATGAATAGGTTTTCGTTATTCTTCTGTAAATTTCTTTTTTGACAACAGCTAAAAGTATTCAATACTTTAATGTTATAGTTTGTATGCATGTGTATATATATATAATAAAAATGATTTCCTTGATGCATGAAGTGTATTGTGCGAATATGAGACAGATTTCTGTCGACAGAAAACGTACTCAAATAGGAATTAAAATGTTTTCTACTTTGTTGATTTTGTTTTTTTAAAATATTCCACATTTATTTCAGTATAAACATTTCATTCTTTAAGTAAATACAGAAATCTCGCTTGATCATTCGTTGCTGAAGTGAAATAACAAATGTGTACACGATGATTACCATTGATGATACGAAGGACCAGTGCAAATATCAATATTTATCTAAGTATTATATTCATACTGACATCATTCAAGGTTTTATCTTTTGCACTGATGAAAATGTGATCACAGTTAGCTGTTTTTATCCTCTCTTTTTTAAAAAAAAGACAAACATATTTTAAAAAAACTTAACGAACGCCGGTTAATTAGGAAAGATTGTAATTTTATGCAGGTGTTAGATTATACTTGAATTATTCTTCATTATATTTCTTTTATCTATTTTCTACTTCAGATTTATATTTTAGCAATATGTCAACTGTAAGTGAATTCGATTTTTCATCAATACTAAAGTTTAAAGAACATCAAAATCTCAAAGATACAATCACTGTTTGGTATGACACATCTGCCAATCAGTCAGAATATTGTATCAAGTTTCAAGAGCGTTTACGTAATGTAATTAACCATGTTGAAGTATTTGATGATTTTTATACTTAGAAAGATTATCTATTATCAATAAAAGAAGAAGAGATCTTTCTAATTATATCTGGAATTGATGGTGATCGATTGGTTGATACAATTCATCATTTACCAACAATAAATTCAATTTATATATTTTGTTTCGAAAAACAACTTCATGAACAATGGGTAAAAAATTATAAGAGGATTTGTGGTGTGTACGACAATAAAGATGAATTATTAAAGGTACTTAAAGAAGATATACGTAGATGTTTATTCAAAATATTGCCTATAAGAGCATTGGATTGTCGTGCAATGCAAAAATCTATTAAGGAATTAAATGAAGATGGTGGATTATTTATTTGGTCACATTTTTAAATGCATATTTTATGTAATATGAAGCATGGAAAAAGGGCTAAAAAAGATATGTTACATTTTGCACGACAGCAGTACATTAATGATAAACGAGAATTAGTCAAAATTGATGAATTTCGAAAGACTTATACCGTTGATAAAGCAATTGAGTGGTATACAAAAGATTCATTCTTTTATCGATTATTAAATGGAGCCTTACGAAGTGAAAATTTTGAAGTCATTTATAAATTTCGTTCGTTTATTGCTGATCTTCATCAACAACTCAAAACAATGCATCAAAATTATGTTGATCAATTATTCTCTTCTACAGATAAAAATGTATTTGAAGTCTATCGTGGACAATTATTACCCAAACGTGAATTTGAAAAATTAAAGAAAAATATTAATGGTTTTGTTGCTATGAATACATTTTTATCAACAACAACTCATAAAAGTATTGCTCTAATGTTTAGTGGCAATGGTGAAAATCGACCAGAATTAGAATCAGTTCTATTTGTAATTAAAATGAAACAAACATATTTAACTGAACCATTTGCTGACATATCTGTAGCAAGTAATATGATAGATGAAAATGAAGTGCTCTTTTCAATTGGAAGTATTTTTCGAATTGATTCAATACATGCTTTATCAGAAACTCAATGGCATATTGATCTATCCTTGGTAACACATAATGATGAAGATGTTGTAAGATTTTCTCAATATTTACGAGAATCTGTTGATTCAAAGCCTACATTTATTGACTTAATTGATATATTTTTCAATATGAATGATTATCAGAGAGCTGCACATTATAGTAAAACATTACTAAAAAAGATTTCACTTACAAACGTCGAACGTTCAGAGATTTATTTGGCATTAGGTCAAGCGGTGACTGGACAATTCGTCGCGGACAATTCGTCGCAGACAATTCGTCGCAGACTATTCGTCGCACGGACAATTCGTCGCCGGA